ATAAACTGTGCATCTCTGCAAAGCAGCAAGAACCCTCCCACGTTCAGGAGAGCTGGGGGGAATCTCCAGAGCAGTTAGCCCCCCCCGGCTGTGCGTGCATCCATCTGCTTGGTCACTCGCTGGCACAGGAGGGGACAGAGCAGCCCCTGCAGCACTGCAGCCCGAGGAGTGCAAAGAGCAGCAGCTGCTCCTCAAATAGCCACACAGGGACCGTTATGTGCCCAAAATAGCCTTTTCCTCCAACAAGAGAGAGCGGCAGACTCAAAAAGCAAAGCCTACCCATTCCCTTTGGGGTCATGGGCAAGTGCAAGATATTTATAAGCATGGGTATTGAAAGCGAAGACAATCCCTGTTCTTTATCCATCAACAGGAAGAGACTCCAATGGCCTTGAGAGTGCAAGAACGCATTTATCCCTCCCTCATTGTCTGTAGATTCAGTCTTGCATCTGTCCCCCTCTGTCCTCCTTCTGACTGGGCCTGCAACTCCCAGCCCTGGGCTTTGACTCAGATCCAAGCTCTTTCTTTTACACAAAGTGAGAGGTAATATTTGTAATATCTGTAACTCAGCACCATCCAAAAAATTTGTTCCAAGCATATCTTTTTTTATTAATTCTATGTACTTCTCATTAGAGTAAAATATCAAACAATAAGCAGCAGACATTGTACTTACACTTGCATTGATATTTTTCAAGAAATCAATGTTTCTTTATTGTTATTCTGCTACTATATACATAATGCACAACTACAAATCTCACACATACATAAGTAAAATGCATATTTCAATGCAACAGTCCAAATGAAATGAGATGATTCAACAATGCTGAAATAAAATGTTTCAGTTTTTTTTTTTTCCTGGAACACTTTATTGTGCTTATTATATTTTCATGAAATGTCTTGGTTTTGATGAAACAGCAGGATATTGGCTGGAAGAGCATTCCCTTGGAAAACATTGGACCTGGGAAGCCTGTTATGCCTTTGATTTCTCAATTTACTCTAATGGAGCAGAGCTGGACAAATTAATACATTCAATTTGTCTCTAATGCCCTTGATTGTCCACTTTGCATGCAATTATCTGGTTAAAGCCCTGCCCTCCATAGCATGCCTTTGGCTCAGCGCTTGCAGTTACAGCTGCCTTAAGGGTTCCTCCTTGACCCATGAGGTCTGGGCTTTAAAAGACCTCTCCCAGCTCTGGCAAAAGCCAGTAGATGGCAGGACCTACCCAGCGCTTCGTTTCCGTTGCACCGTGATGGCTCCCAGTGCAGTGCAAAACTAAGTAAGACTATCTTCCCTTCCAGCCTGACTGCACGGGACACCAGATTCCCAGGGAGTGAATAACTCTGCCAGGAGCAAAAGAGGATTAGAGCTCTCCAGTATCTTCCTCCCAAACAGCTGAGACCCCCAGCATCTCGCCACTGAGGATGGCCTCCTCCTGGGTGAGGAGGCTCTTATGGACCAGCAGAGCAGGAGAGGAGCACTTCAGGGTGTAAAAGCATTAGGAATATCAGATGGAGGGACTTGGGACAGCGGGGCTGAAGGCGGTGGTTTTGCTAGCAGGCACCTGTTGGTGTGCATGCAGCCATTTCCACTTGGACACCCAATTCCTGCCTCCCTTCCACGGTGGAGATCTTGAGATTCGCAGCTTCTGCAACCAAGGCACGTCACCACCACATCTCATGTGTCCGCAACTCAGGGACACAGGTCCGTGGTAGGGAGGCTATGTTAACACCAGCCTCCAAGTGTCCAGACCAGGGACTCTGCCTCCACTGGAGACGGGAGAGGACTAAAGAGGACACCCATGCCTCAGGCCATCACGGAGACACGACCACGTACCAGACCTACAAGGCTTCCCGTGGGGGCCTTCTTTATTGCAAAGAAGGGCTCTGGGAGAAGAACTGTTTCTAACGACTGTAACTTCAGTAAATCAAAATAAAGCAAGGACATTGTTTGAGTAACAAGGTCGAGTCCCGCTTACGTTACTAGCCTTATTTGTTCTGGCTGTGTGTGCAAGGAAGTCACATAAGGGCTGTGTTTTCCTAAAAGAGAAATTCTGCCCTTTCTTAAAAAGCATCTCAAAAGCTGACTTTGCTCGTGTTTGAATCTTCCTTTCAGCAAACAGCAAACACAGTGAACCTCAGCTGAAAAGATTAGTGCTGCAGCAAGCTTTGAGCGTGTACAGACAACATACAAAAATGGGAGCCCTTGTGATGTTAAAGTAGTGGTAGACAGCAGCAGCTGCTGTTGAAACACGGCCATTTCCAGGACGGAAGCACAGAAACTATTTTCTCATTAGCACGCTCCAAAGTGTGCTGGTTTTGACCTAAACTGTTCATTTTCTAGTGAAAATCGTACATACTGGGATATTTTATGGTTGTATGGAGCAAAGCTGCCTCCCCTCATAAAGTCTCGTCTTGTCAGGGAACGTGAATATATGAGTTTTCTGCTGAGATTCAGCTCTTTAATTCCACAATCTAAGTACATACATTCAAAGCATTTAAGAGTTGTCCCAACCCTCCAGGCCTCCAGCTCCAACTCAAGCATCTGGTTTAACAAGCCACAAGTTTTAATGCTCTGTAAATTGTAAATGCTGAGTTCCTGCTATTTGTTGTTTTTTTTTTTTTAATGACTACAGTTGCATGTTTTCTGGCCTTTCACTCTTGCGGATTTGGGGGAAAAGTATCTACATTAGGACCAGAAGTTGTGAGAACTGGCAGAACTGATCACACAATGCCTGGGATTAAGCAGCTAAATTTCATCTCTTGCATTTGACAGGCTGTCATACCCTCCCTGTCTCTCAAATACATGTGTATCTAACAAGGAGATCTTTGCCAGAGGTGGAAGAAGAGTGGAAGAGACAGAAAATATCTCTTCTCCCTTGCGGTAAGTATGCAAGAATATAGTACATTGGAGGGGAGGGGAGAAAAAAAGATAGTGAAGAAAAAAAGATTTCCATATGCAATCTATTCATCCTGCCTATAGACCCCAAAACATGTCTGAACTGACCTTCAGATCCTGTCCTTTGGCAATACCTTTAATTTTATTTGTTATCTGTACAGGGTAAGTAGCCTGTCGAACGCTCCTTCTGCCAGCCTTTGTTCCCATGCATGACCAAGTCCCTGGCACAAGTAAACTCCAAAACCCAGAAATACGCAGGAAAGGGCTATTGCAGCAGGCAACCAGCTTTTATAATCCCACTTGTGGCTTTAGGCCACAGGAGTCTCCAGTGTGGCGTTCTCAGGACAGCCTTGCAAAGGCGCGAACAGGCTTTGGGACACAACCATGCTGATGGCTCCTAAATCCAACCTGCTCACAGCAGATGTGTTGTGCGGGTAAGTGAGATCAAAACCAAGAAACTCTACTTTCGCAGGGGCTCAAAAAGAGCCATAGTCCCATTCCTTGCAAGGTGGAGGGCTCTGGGCCCTGTCTTGGCCATCCTCATCCCTCCGATCCACAGCAATCCCACAAGGACTAATGCATATATTAACAGCCACCGGCCAGGAGTGAAATTTCCCCTGGAAACAAGGTTTCTAACCCTGGCGGGAAGAAGGCTCAGGCACAGCCTCTTGAAAGTGAAGCCAGAGAACAAGAACATCCCCACTTCTGACAACCTTTTTCCCCCGAATTGTCCTGTGCTGTTTAACGTGCACAGCAAAGGGCTGGATGCCGGGTCAAGGTATGCCTCGAGCCCTCCTTTCCCAGAAGAATGAAGGCCTGCCAACCCGGAGAGGCGAGGGAGGATGCATTAATCAGAGGACTGCATGTCTCAGGCCCAACGAAATAATGGAGCGCTGTGCATGCTTACCAAGCCGATCACCTAATTGTGGGCCATGTCACGATGACCAGTGACTCTTGTTGTAATAGCCATCGTTAACGTCTGTGTAATTTTAATTAAAAGATAGGGAGGAGGAGGAGGGGGGAAAAAAACATGCAAAAGCTTTGGTTGCAAATATCCCTTATTTCTCTACAGCTGCACAGAGCTTTCACAGAAAAGGACCTGCTTATCACTCATTTGAGTGGGGATAAAAGTATAATTAAATGGTTTGTGCAGCTCGGGAGGCTGCTCTTTGTTTCTTGACACAAAATAAGAGAAACACATGCAAAAGAGGAGAGGAGGAGGGCAAGGCTAAGTGTCAAAGCTACCCCTGTCTTTTGCTGCTAGAAAAAAGCCTAGTGCAACATCTGATCAGTCACCGGAGTGACAGCATGCTTTTAGCGAACAGTTTAAAGGCTCAGCTTTGGCTTGCTTTGAGGCTAACAGGTCTGCAGCAGCGTCGCAACAAGAGAGGCTGTCTCAGCCAGCCGTATCTCCCACCAGGGTGGGAGGAGGAGAGCAAAGCATGGAAGACCTGGGAAGCTGCGGGATGTGGGGAGACAGCAGGAACGGCAGGTTTGGGGATGAAGTCACCTGCTATAGTCCAGGAACACCACCAGCCCATCCAGTAATTACAGTTTAAACCAAAATACCTGAGTACTGATCTCTTCACCTGCAACCTCACTAAATTTTGTGAACAAGACTCGTCACCCTGGCTCATGTAGGCATTGAAGTTATCGTCTGTAGTTATTCCAATTTCATAAGCGGGCAGATTGAGGCACCAAGTCACTGCAACATGCAGACTAATTCTTACAGGTCCTGCTCCCAGGGTGCTTGCTCAGCTAGGAGCAACTGAGCTGCCTTGTGTCCAACAGAGCAGAATCGGACCTTAACACCCCACATCTTTCACTAAAATGCATCTGGAAAAGGCTTTCCCAAGAGACACAAACCAAGGTGCCAAAGGGATGTTTATCTAGGCCCACAGGGATGTCTGTCTATCTGGGAAAGGAACAGGCAGGAGTTGGAGTTGCTGCTACGACATGAACTGAAAGGACTGCTGAGGACAAGTACTTGAAAGCTGCTCGAGAGCGTAAGATACCCTCTTGCTGGGCCTACAATTCAGGTTTTCCGTAACAGCGTTTCTAACCTCCCCAGCTTCAGCAAGAAGACACAACACAGCACACGTCCCAGCTCAGGTAACAACAGGAGTATGTTTATTCAGGTCTGGCACTTACAGAGCTCAGAGGGACAAGGTACACTTCATTCGTTTTCCGGAAAAGTCAGCCCAGGATTGGAAGAAATGACATGATTTATAAAAAGAGACTCCAGCTGCAGGGGCCAGGAACGTGTCTCCCTTTGGAGACACTGGGATGCATTCCCAGTGCCTGGGCCACCCTCGTGCTGGGGCACGCCAGCGCCAGAAACCTCTGCAGAGGCGAGAGGCAGGAACGTCTAAATACTTTGTTTAGTGATGCTTGTGGATAATTGTTTCTTGGTGAGTCCCAACCTTGTTTTAATCAATCTTAGAAATCAGGGGTACAGGTATAAAAGCAGAAACCCTTCCAAAACAATCCAGCTTTGCCAGGAGGTGTAAGACTGCAGTGGGGTATGTCCACAGAAGGAGGAGAACTGTTCAGCCCAACCTCCCAGGTCTCTGATGCCGAAAGAGCATAAAGTCTGGGAAACGATCATCTTTGAGGCCTGCTGAGAAGTACAGGGTCTCCTTGTGGACAGCAACAGAGAAGATATTGGCTAACAAGATCTGAGATGGCACTTGGAAGACGGGGCACCGCTGACAGTCGCAGCGCAGCTTCACAGGCGGGCTTCTGACGCCGCGCCGGGGGAGTCTGCAACGTCCCCAGGGCGCTGGGTCTTCCTTGCCCAGCCCCATCACTCTCGAGCCCTGAGGACGTAGACGAAGCTGACCAGGATCCCCAAGGCCAGGACCGCGTAGCTGGCTTTCACGTTGCTGGAACCACTGATGTTGCACAGGAAGGAGTCGCAGCAGTAAACGGAGGCAGCCGCTATGCCGAGGTTAATCCCGGCACTGGGACAAATTGGCGAGCATCCTTTGGAGATGGACTGCCCAGACTTGCTGCCTGAACATATGACAGGCGTGGTGGGGAAGAGAGAAGAAAGAAAAGCAGAAAGAGGAAAGGTTTAGTTCCTCAGCATTTTGATCACCTGCTTTGCAAAGGAAATAACAGTACTGAATAACTAAACCACCATGACCTACAGAGGGTGGTACAGAAAGGGTAAAACATTTCTCAGCATTAGACCCTCAAATGAATCTCAGCCAGCCCACATATCTTGAAGAACGCCCCAGCAGACTTTTCACATAGCTCTTAGAGACTGCGTAGCATGCTGGGGACATCCCTTTCAGGCTGTTGGCCAAAATTTGCCTGCTACGCTTCAAGAGAGAACCTGAAACATCCCACCCGAGCTTGATCTGGGGACTTTTCATGTGAGACAGCGAGCATGGGGCATACAGAGCACCAGCAAGAGGCGTATGCCTCACACGAGCGTACGCCTGTGCCACGAGCCTTGATTGAGAGGCTCAGCACACATTTAGCAGCAAGCACAGGAAATAGGAAACCATTAGCACTGCGCTAAGATGACAGGCTTATATAATCTCCCGGCCTCCATTTGTGCACGCACAGCCCACCCACGTGGCAGACTGTGCAACTCAGGCATGCAACACCCCTCCCTCCCACATGCAAGATGCAGAGGGTTTCGCCGGTGCCTAAGCAGGGCTGGTGGTAGGGGGAACACCAAGGCAGGCCAGGCTGCGTCTTTGCAGGGCAGCAAGGAGACCTGGCAGAGGAGCCTGCTTCCCTGGGAAGCGCTGCTGACAAGCAGAGGCCCCCAGATCTTTCTCGGTGCTTTTCTGACTTCTGAGAAAAGCAGGTGGCTATGGAGAGAATCTGGAAAGCTCCCTTCTCGGCATCCCCACCACATCCACGGAGGGAGAAGAAGCAAAGGTAGGAGTCAGGGATGAATAACCTAAACATCAGCCAACACAGAGTAAAATGAGAAAGGATAACCCCGGAGCTTTCCCACTGAGGAAGCCTGCAGCATCCACCACCTTTCACTGATTCATCAACAACTTCCCCCTGATCCCAAAATTCTCCTTGGACTCCTGGCTTCAGTGCAGGCACGTGGGCTTTAACGTGACTCTGTCTGGCAGCACATGTAAAATGCACTAGGATGGACTAACGCTCAGCTGCTGAGCAGAAATTTCTCCTTCTTCTAGACAAAGGAACGAAAACTTTCTTGCGCCTCTCCAGGTCATCAGGGAAAGCAGCTAGGACGGGCACAAGAAGGTCCTGTCAACACTCACCGATTCCCACTCCGACATACGTTGTCACACAGTGGTTTTCATTCTCCCCACACTTGACAGGCTTCAGACAGGCCCAGTTCGAGGATGCATCCGAGCACGAAAAACAGATCAGCGTGTGGGCTGCAAGGGAAAGGCACACCTGCGTTAGAAGCTGGCAAGGAGACGTCCCCGCTCAGCAGTCCCCACCTCCAACACGTTACATACACTGCATCCAGCTGCAGCCTGGTGCTTGCTATTCGGGTTGTCTCAATCTGCAGTAGGGTTTCCCCCCGCAACAAGGCTGGCCAAGTAAAGGGTTCAGGTCTATGGGTTACATTTTGAACATCTTCCACAGAGCTCTGGGCCTGACCGATTGCTGACAGATGCCTCAATGCCATCACAGGTCAGCCTGATGCTTGTCACCATGCACCTGTTTGCACCAAGAGTGGGGTCAAGCAACAGCTGCTAACCTGAAACTGAACAACGGTGGCAAGTTCAGGCCTGCAGGCTGGAGTTGGAGATCTGTGCTAATTTACCTCCGCTGCCATGGATACTGATGGGAAATGTTCCAGGCATGAACACAGGTTTGAGCTTTCTGTGACCTGCCTTTGGCAGCAGGGCATGAAGTTCAGACTACACTTGAGCTAACATATATGGTAGAAAAAACAGTTTCTCAGCTAGAGTAAGCCCAGCACTGCAGCAAGACCTGCAAGGAGGGAACAAGGCCAACGGAGAGATGGAGGTGTAGACAGAAGTCCAGATGAGTTGCCATGAGCAACCCCATGGGTTATTTACAGAGGGACAGGACCGCAGGTGGTTTGCTCTCACTTTCCAGGCAGGCTTGGTAGTAACTTTTTGAGACAGCAGCAAAGGAAAGAAAAGGGATGGGATGATAGGGCACTCATTTCTCAGCAGTACATATGGCAACCTGCACCCCCACATCCTACTACACCGACTGCCGTTTCCCGCCCCAGGGTCTCCAGCAGCACCTGAACTCAGGTCCTTCAGCAACTCAGCAAAGATTTCTAGCTGTCCAGCTGCAGGAACACATCTGTCATATATCCGCAGTCACAACATCTCCCTGACCCCAAGATGACAACTCACATTTAAAACCACTCGATTCATCTACAGCTTGCGGTCCTGTGGGTATTGTAGAAGCTCATGGACTAAGGTCCAATTTATAATCACTTCTTTTTTTAAGTCAAAACCTAACATTCTGGACCGAAGAAGGTGTCAGCAAACTGCGTTCTGCTTTCTCCCAATGCGCCTATGTCACAGGACCCACTCCTAGGAAGCAATTTTACACACTTACACAATCCTGCTCTCCAGGGAGTCACAGCACTATGAGGGCAGCATATACATCCAACCTTTCCAATTTGGGGGTGGGGGGGTTGGCACTAGCGAAAAAGCAAGCCTTCCTCCACAGTGGGGCTCCTAAAATGGCCTACGCTGTACCAGCAGGATGGATTGTACCAGCTAGCTCACACTGCACTTCTAGCTCTGGCCAAGAAAAGGTAAAGATTGGGAAATGGTATTCAGCCAGGGGAAATGGTCACAGAAACACCCAGACCAGTGCCTCAGCAGGGACATATGCACTTCACCATGGATGGATGGTATTCTCTGTATTTTACGTATATCACATCCGCGCTACAATCGTTGACCTACATACACAGACAGCTCAGGTCTGTTCCCGACGTTTCACGGGCTCCGATTTTTGAGCACTCAGACTGCAAGCCCTTCCACGAGCCACTGCCTGTCTCTCCTGTGTCTACACAATGCAAAGCAGAGGGGAATCCATTTCAGGATGGGAGGTGCTCAGCAGTGCTATTCCTGCTTCTTCCCCTCTCAGCTCCATCACAAACAGATTTCCAAAACAAGGGGAAGTCCAGCCAAGCCCTGGGAGAAGTTGTTCAGGTTTGGCAGTCCCTGACATGGCCTATTTTGAAGAGCAAGTTGGACAAACATCTGCCAGCATCTGTCCCCATTTTGCTACAGGCCTGCATGACCTCTTGAGGTTCTTCTCAATTCTGTTTCTCTCAGAAAAAGCATTTGACAGGAAATTTGGGAAAAAAATAGCAATTGTGCTCTGGGGAATGACTTCCAAGCTGCCGTGGCCAAGGCAGGAGAAGAAAACAAAAGCACAACTGCATTTTTCAGGAAAATGGAATAAAGCAGGTAGTCCAGAATGTCATACCAAGGCAGCCAGGTGACTCTAGTCTGGAAACAAAGCTAATACCACAACTCCCTAGCAAGAATTTCCTGTACTGTCTCACACCACTTCAAACCATCATCAGTTTGCCAACAATCTTTGCAATGGAGAAAAGTTACCCAACTACACTAACATAGCAGCTACAACCTACACACAGCACCCAGGATTACAGGGCCATCACCTGAGTCAAAGGCCTCAGGAAATATTTGCCAGTAGACCTTGCCTCTGGAGGTAGGAGAGGAAGAGGAGGACTGAGCCAGCAACTGAGTCAAAGGGCTGTCACTATTTCTTGACGAGCCCAGGGTTTCCATGGGTGGCATTTTTAACCTTGCTGGTAGTGCCACAAACTCCATCTGAGACCTCGAGTCAAGCCCAGCTCTCCTGGTCCCCTGACTCCATGTGTTTCTTCTCCCAAGTCTCAGATGACCTGTCCCAAACACCTCTCCTTGCAACCACTCTTGAGGGCAAACTGAAGCACGAGGAGGCAAAATGACTCACCCCATCTCACCTACACTGTCTGCGACCAGGAATGAACTGGATTACAGGCTTCTTGTGGGCATTATGGTAGCACGTATGACCCCACATGCATTATGTCACTACATTGAACACACAGAGTGGTGCAGTGCTGTTCATTCAGCCTTAGAGTTTACTGACATAAACACATCAGAAATATTTGTACGTGCACATAAAAGTGCTGTTGGCCATGGAATTCTCTGTGACATGGCTAAATCTATGTTCCTACCACTGTGTCTCCAAACTGGCCCCATCTTTTTCTTTGTCACACCTATTACCTGTAACACCTGTAATAGATACTAGACATAGACTGAATCTCTGCAGGAAATGTGAGTCTTTCCACATAGTTTAAGAGAGGAAATATTCAGTCTTAAGTACTGCCATTTCCTACTTCAGCAAACTAGATAACTGAACGATCCAATCTACAAATCATTGCAGAGTAAAGAAAGCAAACAGGTTTTTTTAGACACAAGACACAAGAGGGGAGCAGAATTATTTTATGCAGTTGGAGACAAAGTGCAGTGGGAGTTCAAGGCTACAAAAGAAAAAAAAAAAGAATCAAGATTGAACAATGTAAAAAAGAAGCCTCGTTTTCACCAACTAGAAAATGCAGCATTCTTCTACAGGAAGCCTTTCTGTGTTTATTTGTTTCCCGCTCAGCTCCTTGAAGGAACAAAGAGCTCATAAAAGATCATTTAGGGGAATTCCTTAGATAAGACATGCGGGATCCATTCTTGCAAGGAGCAATGTACAAAAAAAGCCTTTAAAAGCCTGCTCTGAAGCCCAGCAGCACTGGTGAAAAATGTTGTTGCTTCAGCAGCTCTTCCGTTCATTCCTTATGCCAAATGCTCTTTTCTTTTGCTTTCAGACAAGAGTCTTATACACCATGAGCCAGATCTTTGAACAGTGGGTAAAGCTTTTTTAGGAAAAAAGTCCCTGGACATGATGGGAGTGTTGGGGGATAAAGCTACCTGCAAAAAAGCTTTTTTCCGTGGCTAAGGAGGACTTGTTCTACTACTGAAAGGTTTTTTGGAAGGGGGAAGGTGAAGCCCCTTCCTGCCTGGGCCTGGACAGCCCACTTTCTGGGCTGGAATTCAGCACATGCCAGCTGAGCTCTGACCCAGTGCTTTAATTGCCAGTTGCTTGCTTGAATCCCACGGGGAGGGGGAGCACGCAAACAACTAGTTTCTGCTCACCGATGTTTCTCAAGAGACAGGGAGGGTCCGTGTTTTCTGAGCAGACGCTCAGACGGCCAGGAACTCTCCCTCTTTGTTTGGCTTCTCCTAGCATTGACATATGGAAACAATATGGGGTTTTGCACGGCCTCACGGAGTTTAGATAACCAGAAATGGAGTCATCAGGGATGCAGGATAAGAGACCTGCCACTTGGCCAACTTGCAGTTTTAACACTCAGCAACGGGGAACACGTTTTCCTCAGGTTCAGTGGCAAGCCCAGGGCACGCTCCACACAGCCCTGTCCCTTGGAGGGTCACCTCCTCATGTGCTGGCAACCCCAGCCTGCCCCTAAATGTTGCTGTGGGACCACAGGAGCCAGGACCACAAGTGGCTTTGCCCAGAACCGTCTCCATCAGCCATTGCCGGGGCTGGGCTCCATCCTCCTTCCCCTCCACTGCATCTCAGCCCATTTCAGCATCGTTATTCCAGCTCGCTGTACAGAAAGGGAGGCGCAGGGCCAGCCCTGGTCTTTGTTCGAGCTGCAACTGGGAACAGCTCCAAAATATGTACGGCTGAAGACACGCACCTATACATACAGGCACAGCAGCCTTGAAGTTCCTGCTGCAAGAGGGACATTGCGGAGAAGCAGGTCTTGGAAAGAGCCCCCAACCCAGGGCTCAACCCTTTCCCCCCAACCCCGATTCCCCCCTCACCCCACCTCCAACTTCCAGAGCTCCCGCTGCAAG